TTTCCGAGCGTGTGAATGCTAGATAGTGATTGGATCTCGAATTTCATCATATGTGTGTGTATTGCTTTATTGTGAACATTTACATTAGCAGTTTAATCCCTTTAGGAAAAAGAATCCTGAAAACTGGTTTCAAAATGTTCCCTTCATTAAATCTGTAGCAATTTCTCTTGAAATAAAAGGCACAATCTGAGCTAGTGAGAACCTAACAGATGAACTGTTAGAAACATTAGATAAGGACCTTTCAACCTTAGAAGGAAAGAAATTGTTCTGTACATTTCCCAAATGAATTATAGCAATATTTTAAAATCATTTTGGGGAATGGAATTTTTACTGACGGACTGTGATAGATATCACATGTTGAAAGAATATGCTACAGAAACCTATAGACTAGAATGCTGAACATATGTAGACACATGCGCACTTTTTTTAAGCTACGTTTTATATGCTTTGAGCTAAATTGTGCCATTAGCCACAACCCTGTATTAGAGAAAGCATGAAGCTGCATTAGACCTTGTGGAGCTTATGGAAGGACTATGCTCCCCCATGCATTCTCCTCCCAGCACACAGAGGGAACAAAGGGACTTCCCAGGTAGGTATGTGCATCATCCACTAACTTCTAGCACTACCTGCCAGCCACCGTCACCACCACCAGAGGTCAGAGTCTTTGTGATAGCCAAATCACGCATACACTCTTTTTTACTAGTGAATACTCAACATACTACCTAGCCACCGAGAGGCACCATGGGCATGATTTTTGCTGCCCAGAAAATCCAGGAAAAATGCCAAGACCACCACCACCTTTTTCTTCCTTCGTATGGCTAGGGCAAGCAATGAGAAGGTGGAGGTTAATTAAAAGCTGTATGTTGAGGTTTGATAGCCAGTTGATGACATCTGGGCTGGCTAAGTAGATTGCTTCAATCCCTCCATGATATGCAAACTCAGGGCAGGAGTTTCCAATGTGGCTCATTGACTGTACTTCACCATATAAACAGTTCTGTGAGTCCTTGATGCTCCATTTGTTCAATAAATAGGCACGCCTTCTGTGTCCCATACAAATGTGGTTCAGTGCAGTCCAATATTTACATTGCAGGCAGAAACCCAGAAACTTGATGGGCAGATCTATGACCAAATTTTTATTGCACACTGTTGCTGCAGACCAAATTTTGGGCCAGCAGCTTTCAGCGTCCAGACTGTTCAATGAAATGATGGAGCATGTGTAACCAGAAAGGTTTCGTTGACTTAGGCCTGCATCTTGGTGGGTGAGCGATATCTTCATACAACAGCAGTTCAGGGTCAGCCATGATCTTTTCATACTCTCAAAGTATGGCCAAACCCCTTCTCACCATGGAGGGAGGGACATTCAATAACACTGTCAGCCACAGAAGTGGCATGCATTTTAGAGCACCACTTACTACTTGGCATGATGGCATTCACCTGTGTGCTGATGTGGGTGTGAGGGCTTTGGCACCAGATGGGAGCAAAGTATTCAGCTGTAGAGAGTACCAGGGCCTGGGTTGATCT